AGAGGGTTCACCGGCCCAAAAAGATTTGGTAATACTGATCTAGACAAACATCCCTTTGTGATGGAAATTTTTTGCGATTCTTTTATTTTTTCTCTCTCTCTCTCTCTCTCTGCTTCTTCCTTTCTCACACACACACTCTCTTTTCCTCTATCTTTTTTCTCTCTCTCTTTCTCTGCAAAATGATGTACCATACATACTTGTACATCAAGGTTGCCTAACATATATTGCATGAATGACAAAGGCCATGTCATTTATAGAGAGAAGCCCTTTTCAGAAATTTTCTTCTATATCTAAAAATTTGGGAACTGTCAGATTTGAAATCAGGTTATTGCCCAACCCTTCTAAGGAAATTCGCCATAATTTACAAGATAAATTTTCAGCAGACAAGTGCCAGTGTGAAGATGGTTTTTTGTTGGCAGTCAGAAAGGAAATGTCTTCATCCAATTTGTTTTGGGAAGTACTGAAAGTATTGTTACCTTTTGTCTTTGGCTTCAAGAAAAAGATATAGTGGCTGGTGAACTTATCTGTCAGGGAATGAATGATGACTTCATGATGCCCTATACACTTGAGGTAAATTTGGTCTGTTGCAATAAATAATTTCCGACGAGCTATCCATTCAAGAAGAAAGCTTTTCCATGCCCTATTTTTCGGTTGAATATTTCCACATCAGAAATATAGGTTCATTTTTTGAATGTGGCATTTCCAGTAATTTCAAGGACCAACTATTACCTCGAGCAATCTTGATAGATCGAGATTGAAGTACGCTAGGATATAATTTTCCAGAAATGACGCTGATGCATTGAAACGCATGAGTGGTTGTAGAAATGGATTCACATCATACTTTATTATTGGCAGAAAAATGTTATTACATTCAAGATGACTTATAATTCATGTGAAAGCATCATCATACAGATTTTAAATTTTTTAAAAACACCATGTATTTTTGGTGAAGCAAAAACAAAATTGGCTCTGCAACTGAAAAATTGCTGTTTTGCATGTCAAATTCCTTTATGAAAGATAAAATTGCAACGATTTTCAATTATGAGAAACGTCTTTCAGAGACCCAAGCAAAACTAAATGCTGAAAATCTTGATGCTGTGACTTTTCTAGAATTATCATTTGGCTGATTTTAGAAAAAAAAGGCTTTTTTACTGAAGCCATACTCAGAGGAAGTTGATCATTTTGCTGTTTAGTTCAAATAGAACAAGCTGGGAGTTTAAAAATCAATGCCTTCTTACTGGAAATATGTCTACTATGTATGAGAAAAAACGTACACATGTATTTGTATGTGATGCGCGCATTGAAGGTAATGAAAACCTGCACTTTTTGTGGATAAAAAAGTAGGCTGCAAGGTATATAAGCAGTATTGGATTGAAATGGTCTGCTGAAGGTGCCTATGAAAAAAAGAAAACTTAATACAGTACTGAATAATTATTCACAGAATAGGCAGGACTCTAAGATTCAGATTTCAACAAGAGCAGATTTCAGCTTGCATTCATTCAACATATGAATGCAGGGTAGAGAAATCTGTCAGAAGTCTGAGAACTTATTTTATTTTTCAGTTTTTTTGAAGGTTAATTTCATTCCAAGCAGATGAAGCCATAATATTAGCTCTTCTGAAGAAATCATTGCAGAGGAACATATCTGATAATTTTTATTCAATACATGCCTGGCAGCCACATCAGGGCATCATCATCATGAAAATTTGTGAAACATTCTCACAAGCTTCAATTGAGAATATTGCTTCAGTTTCTAAAATCCACTTATAATATATTTGTTGTTCTCCATGCATCACAGAAGAATTTCAACTCCTATTATGACCCCTGAAGGTCCCATGTTCAGTGTGAATTCTGCTGATAATTGGACCTGTGCATGAAAAAGGAATTTTTATTACAAGTTATGAAGGAACTGTCACTCCTTTACAGTGTTATCAGCCAAATCCACTCATATTTCAAAAAAATTTACCCAGCACTTTGAAATATTAGAATTGAAAATGCTTTTATGCCTAAAAATATGCATTCTTGGTCACATGTCTACCAATGTACTGCTGTAAAAACTGCAGCATCAAAAAATCAATGAATGCTGGTCTGAAAATTCTAATTGATGGATTTTGCAACTGTCAACCAAGAAAAATTTGTGGTTTCAATTGGGAGTTGATTATCAGCTTATTGACCATTATTTTAGGAATACAGTACAGGTGAACCTCAATAAGTTGAGTCTCCCAAAGTCAATTTTTTCAGAAGTCCATGTCTGAATTCCCTTAGATACATTAAAAACCTCCATAAGCCGAAGTACTTTTTTCTAAAACCTCTTCAAGTTGAATTTTCTGAGGTTTTCTGGTTATTATTTCCTTGAAATATGAAAGAGAAAATTATTAGAACTAGTGATTTGATGCATCTTGAAAGGAAGTGAAAGACAAATATAGCAAATGAACCCCTGCCTCCAAGTTCAGCAATGTTGAAACTCATTAAGGAGCAAGTTTAGGCCCAGAATATCCTTATTTATGAATCCCACACTTCTTACACTTCTCCTCACAACAGAAGTGTTTCCTCAACTGGAAAGCTCCAAAAATCAAAACCCCCCCAAGTCAATTTTTTTTTCTAGTCCCTAGAAGTTTGACTTATGACGTTCAACTGCATTAGGAAAAGAATGAAAGTCATGAAGTAAGCTCATGAAAATACTTTAGTGTACAGGCAGTGCTGAGTAGAACCTATGTTCAAGTGTAGTCCACAATTTTCTCTGAACAAAATATTTTTTACCCAAGCATGGAGTGCTTTCCCCATCATTGTATATGGGTTCTGTCCAGCAAGATTTTTTTTGGTCTCTTTGATTTTATTGTAGAGGTAGATCACCAGTACAACAACCTACTGTATGTTACGTAAATGCTGCTTTTCCAACAAATTTCTTCCTTTCATGACCAATATGCATTCATATCTTGATACAAACATTTTCTTAACAGACTCTCATCAAACTTTTATAATGCTGGGAAAGTATCTCAGGACTGTTTGAAAAGAGAACATCATGCAAGTGTTGACCTACTCTAAAATGATCTTGTCTACAACAATATTCTCTGTGAAGAGAATTTGTTTCAGGTCCTGTAGGGTTCTCCTTGTTTTAATACAGGGGTTCTCTGCAACTACATTCTCTCTACATACCTAATTTGTTCCTGTCTTCTGAACTTCATAGTAGAAAGAGTTCACCTGAGTGTTCTTCAACATCAGTCCCATATACAGTCCCCAGAGGAAAGAATGCATGTTGTAACATTCTTATATTCAATCATTACAATGAATTCATAGAACAGTTGATGGAATTGAATGAATGCAACTGAACAAAACCAAAGAACTGAAATTATGGCATGTTTATCATCCAGCAGCAAAGAAGTACAAACACAGCTTCAGAGTCACTAGTAAATTTACAAGAGAAAGCACGTCTCACACACTCTTCTATACTCACTCAACCATCCAACACTAAATTTATTCATTTCAAGCACCGTTCTGTCCAACCATAGAGGAAAGATTTCAACCCCACAAGAATATATCTAACTCTCCACAACAACAACAAAAAACCTCAAGCACACGAACATAATTTTAAAACACATGGGAAGACCGGTTTTTGGCACTTTCTTCCAGTAACTTGGTCGAGACTCAGAAAACGCACCTCAGGCAACAGATTCCTCTTTTTTTTCCATCTCGAGAGATTTCCAGTAATCTTTTCTGGCTAACTTGGACGCAATCTTTGCTCAAAACTCAAACGAAGCAGCATATTTTTTACACAAGAACAAAAACAAAAACGTACGAAACACAAGAAAAACCTTTCACAAAACAAAAAAAAGTAGCGTCGTAAGTCACTTCAGAGCTGCCCTGCTTATTTGCTAGAGCTCCTCTGTCTGGTGGCAAACTCGTCTTTTTTTTAAGGCACTATTGGTGAGCCAACATTCTCCGGCATCATAACTCAAAGAGAATGAGGAAAAAATCAGTACAAAAGCTTCACTCAAAAGGATAATTGAAAAAAAAGGACAATCAAGCTGCTAAATACCACTCGCAAATCAATCAAAAAACGGAAGTTCAGATTAGCTCACCAGCTGCTTTTTTCGAATACTCCCAACCCTGACTAAATATTTCTTAATTGCTTTTCAGTGTCAGCTTCAAAAAATCCGCAAGAAGCTTTTAGAAAGTTCCTCAACAGAAATAAATCTCCGCGGAAAATGCATCACAATTTCGTATGTCACAATGAGAGTGGCACTGAAATTTATCTTCTCCAGTGCATAAAAAAAACAGATCAGCTGCAAAAACACCGCATTTTTCAGAAAACTGAAAGAACAAATCTGCACTAGTAAATCAATTTAGCGAAAATTTGTGGCACTTGAAATCGGAAGCCATCAAGAGCACAAAAAATTGGTTCAGCAAGAAATCTTCTCAGAATTATTTCTTTAAAATCCGCAAGATGAATATCTAGTCTGTACTGGTAATTAAATTTATAAATACGCACAAAATATCACAAGTTTACAAAAAAAATCCTGGCACTGAAATGTGGAGCCCCCAAGAACAGAAATGTTTTTTTTTTCACATCACTTTTCCCTGGGATCGAACAGATGACGATTTGATCTTCAGACCATTTTCGAATATGAAACCCGATTAATTCGGAATTGTTTATAAAAATCTTGAAAATTGAAAAGGCGGACTCGATCGAATTAAGATGGCTCCCGATCATTTCCAGAATAAACTGACAAAATCTTCGAATATTTCACAAAGGAAAAGCTTTCCGAAACCAGCTGCGAACCTTTTCCAAAATTTCGTAGTTAAAATTACCTCGTATTAAAAAAAAAAAAAGGCACAAGCGTCATGCGGAAGTTTCTAGAAGCCTCTTGCATCATTCGCTGCCTCCAATAATAAGTTCTCGCAAAAAAAAAAATGGCACCAATGAAAGAGCGAAAAATGGACAATAAACACTCTGGCACCAGGTGATGATTTTTTTCATTGTCAATCACCTCCATCTTCAGTCTCATATCCACATCCGCTCTGCCGCTGAAATGTACAAGTACACCGGCCGTGTCTCTTCTCGGAATCTCGTTCTTTCTGCTGCTTTCTTCGTCGTCCTTTTTTCCGATTCCATCCAATGCTCCTCTTTTTTTTTACTCATTTCTTCTTCTTCTTCGTTTTGCACCTTAAATGAAAGCGGGTTAGTATAGGCGGAAACCAGGGACGACAAACGCCACTCAAAGTCCGCGATTAGAGAATTAGAAATACTCCAGAACAAAACAAAAAAACAAATCAGTCCCACGGGGCTCCGTTAATGAGGTCGCCAGAGAATTAGCACCGAGATTAAAGCCAAGGTTTTGGTATTTAATCGCAGGCGGCTGCGTGCGCTGATTAATTAGGCCTCATGGTTATGCCAGGGAAAAAACAAAAATACATCCAGCCTCACGACTCGCCAACTTTCCTCCACATTTTGGCACATATCATTGGAAATCCGCAATATTTAAAAGCATCATTTACATTTTTTTCAAATGATTATGGCATCCACCCAGGCATCAAAAACCGAAGTCCCGAAATCTCGACCAGCTTTGCTCAAAATTCGGAAAAACATGCAGTTGCTTGAAAAATGGTTGTTTTCTCAAACGGCTGTCACAAATTTTTACGGCGAACAGGACAAAAAAAAATTCCTGAAAACTATTAGAAATTGATTTGAACGGAATTGCTTAAGCGACATCTAAGCAGACTAGAATTAACTATCAGTGGAATGGATCACAGTGATCGAAACTTAACGAAGATACACACCATCCTCCGGTAAATCAAAATTATACTTCTTCCAGCATTTCTTCAAACGAAAAAAATTTAATTTGAAAAAAAAAATTCGACAAGAACTAACGTTAGTTTACGAGAATTTTAGCAGCGAAATGATGAAATAATTCTTTCGGCATTCCAAAAAATGATTGATTCATTCAGCGAGTTGCCAAAAGAAAACTCTCCGTCCATTAAAATCGTAATTTTCTCAATGTTTCTCAAAAGGGAAAAATTTTCATTTTTAAGAACATCGACAGGAATGAAAGTCGTCTTACAATTCCGTTTTGCCATCTGAGCAACGAATAATAAATTGATTCTTCCCGTAAGTCAAAAATGATTAATTCGATCATTGAGTGGCCTCAAGAAAAACTTCCCATCCATCAAAATTTCACTTTTTTTTTAAAGAGAAAGAAGAGAAAGAACATGAATTTTCAGCTCAGAAATTCGTGCTTCAGCTTGAGCAACAAATAATAAATTAATTCTTCCAGTATTTCAAAAAAAAAAATGATTGATGCGATCAGCGTCCAAAAAATCCGGAGCAAAGCCAGTAAGGATTTCGGGTTTAGGGTTAGATGCCAGGAATGAGCCTGCGGACAAAAACGAAAAAAAGCCACATTAATCCAAGCAATTCAAGGGCTTGCTCAAATCGAAAATTTTCCAAGTAGAAGAAACCATGTATGCACAAAGTTGGCGAGTCGCGACACATGCCTAAAAAAAAAGAAACAAAGAAAGGAGAGTAAGAGGTTCAAAATGGCAGCTAAAAATTCCGTTTGGTTTGTTTTCAGCTAACAGCTGGCCAAGTTAGTGCTCGGGGGTTAAAGCTGGACTGTCCCCGACCCGCAAGTCAGCAAATGCAGGTTAACCCGTGGATTTCCCCCAAAAAAATCTCCCCGCAAGACGCAAACAGGAAAAAAAAAACAGGGTCATCGGAACTTTTTTTTAGTGTGTTTTTTTGTTTGTTAACGAATGAAAACAGAGAGAAAAAAAGCAACCACACGGGTTTCGGGTCAGTATGTATGTATAAGAAACTCAGCACCTCCAGAAAGAACTCTCAGTTCGGTTTGTTTTTTTTTTCGCTGCAAATGCTTTTTTTTTCTTCTCTCTTTCCTTCCCGATCCTTTCCTTTTTCAACTTTTTTTTTTAAATTTTCAGGCCATCGGCATGAAACCACTTTTGCTCTCAACGTTTGCTCCCAATCACACACAAGACAAGTCGGGGAGAAACACAAAATAAAAAGCGCGGGGGGGGGGGAGGGGATGGGGTTGGATTTCATTTTTTGCTTTTCATCTTCGATTTTTTTTCTCTTTCGAATGCCTCAGTTGACCTTTTTTTCAATTTTTCCCCTCGGCTGCTAAGACTTCTGGTGACCTTTCACTCACTCGAACCCGCGTCGGAGTATTTCTGACCCTCGCCTCGCTCTCACGAAAAAATTCCCACCCCAGAAGAACCACAAAAAGCAAAAGGAAGAGGGATCTCAATCCACCGACCAGCAGTGCATTCCGCAAATGAAAACGTTTTGACAAATTCGTGTCTCTCGAAACAACGAAAAAAAAAACACAAGAAATAATCGTCACAAAACTACTCAAAGCGCTTCAGGGGTATTACTTTTTCTCACCGGTCATGAGGAGTAAAAACTGACGAATTGTCCGAGAATTAATCTCCGTTCCAAACTGATGAGCTTGCGTTTGGATGTACATTATTTAATTTTTCATACGCTAAAAAGAACCTCATTTCTAAAATTTAGATGCTTGTTTTTTTTTTTTAAGGAATACATCACATTTTCTTCACAGCGGTTATTCTGTGAACAAACGAATGTCAAGTTTTCATTCGCTAAAATGACCTAGTTTTTTGCTGATCAAGAAATGCAACTTTTCCATCAGAACAGTTTTCCAGTGAACGAAAAAATCATCTCGAAAAAAAAATCGAATACCGAGTAGATGAAAATTTTAATGCAAATGGTTGAAAAAAAACGGAACAACTGATAAGATAATGAGCAACTCCGAAGACTCGAACCAAAAACTGCCAGGATTCTTCGAGATACGTTCAAAAGATTCTCATTTACTGTAGAAAACAGAATGAAATAAGATATATTTCATTAGTGAAGATCACTTCTCTCAGGGATACAATTTCGATCACTTGGTGATCTGCTGGCCAGTGGAGTGAGTCTTTTTTTTTTTTCTTCTTCTTCTCAAGTCGCTGAGAAGCAGCTAAACAAAAGCCCCATTTATATTTTAATCTTTTTTTTTCAGGATACAAGGCATCGACTAACCAGGTCTTTTTTTCTCTTTTTCTTTAGGCTATGCTGCCAGTCCTCGGGTCAGCGTACGGATGACCCCGCTTTTGCGTAAAATCGGCGATCCCTCGGCGCGGAACTTTGCCTCCGTTTCCTGCGCAAAATTCCGAAAATCTTATACTTTTTCCCACAAAAAAACGAAAGGAATTGTTTCCCCCCATAAAAAAAAAAAAACTTCTCCACAACAGAAAAAAAAACCGCTGGCCCACACCAGCAACACACGAAAAAAAAAAAAAAAAAAACACCACTCGAAACATCCGCGATACAAAAAAACAAAGCACTCGCTTCCGTTGATCCTTTAAAACCTTCCCCCCGCATACACAGCAATAGCACCACGGTCGATTCAGCTCAGTGAAAATAAAAAAAAAGGTGTCTCACTAGCTTTCTTTTTCCTTTTTTACCCTCAATTATGTTTCTTTCATTTGCGATGCCGATCCCTCAGGAGAATTCTTCACTCGAGAAGACGGAAGAAAAATTAGCGTGAATTTCTTCATCAGTCATTCGAGAGAATTCTCCGAAGCATCGACGATCACAAACGAGAACAGCATTAGCATCGTTAGACCCGGATGAAGAACAAAATCAAAAAAATGGCACTACGCGGTACAATGGCAACTTCAAGGCAAAACCCAATTCCGAAATGGCACTTCGAATTCCGATTGACAAATAAAAACTGTCCCTCACACGCACATGTACAACCAAAAAATTGTCTCCACAAAACGCGAGAGAAAAAAAAAGATCTGCGATCGGAAAATTAATAAGGTTACAGGATGAGAGGGAAAAAACCCCTCAATGAATGAAGACGACGACACGAACCTTTCAAAACACGAGGGAGGAAATATAAAAGACAAGTGGGGGGAGGAGAACCAGCAACTTTTTTTTTTAAATAAAAAAGCGAAGATCTGCCGCAAAATTATATCACACGAAAAACTGGTTCCGATCTTTTTTTCTATCTCTTCTTTAAATTCCCTCCCCCACTCATAAAATAAAAAAAGTTTGGCTAAAGTCGCGGGCGGAGAAACAAAGACTGAAGAACGAGAACGTCTTTCATCTTCAGCTCCACAAAAAACAAAAAACTTCCCACTTTTTTCATGCAAAAATACATCGAATATGCGAACACCTTGCAAAAACCAAACAAAAAAAAGCCTCGACCCTTTTTCTTTGATAATCGGGCAAATATATATTTTTTTTGCGGAGAAAGCGAAAACGAATATACCTTTTTTTGCCATAGAAAATTTCTCTCCTCACGCGAGCTTCTCTGGCTCGATTTCTTTTTGTCTTTTTCCTCAAAAACAAAAAAAAAGCAACAACTCATCACGGAGAATAAAAATGCAGCTACGAATAGCAGTAGTCACACCGTCGCAAAGACGAGGGGAAAAAAACCGAAATTTTTGCCTCACGTTTTTTAACCCTGTACTTTTTTTAAATTTCTTCCTTCCTCTTTCTGGATTTTTCTCGTAAGCTGCCTCTGAATTCCGGCAAATGCATTGTATATATCTCTCTCTCACTCTCTCTCAAAAAAATTCGACTATTCGATTTCCGTAGCACCAATGATCGCGGTAAAAACTTCTTTTTCTTTTCAAGCAGGAATTCGACTGGCAAAGGAAGAAATTCATATTTCTTTCTTGTTTTCTTCTGAGAATTATCGCTCTTGTTATGGCATCGAACAACTCTTCATTTCTTTCTCTTTGAACACGGATTCCGGGCAAGAAATGCGATTTTTCCTCACGCACGAAGAAGTAACCACCACGAAAGCTAAAAAATTCGCTCAACTCCAAATCGCTTTCAAAAAAAGGCTGCTGAACTTCACAAGAAAATGCTTAAATTTACAACAACAAAAAAAGCAACACGACACTCTTCCTTTCATGTATCCCATCATTTGGAAACGATAAAAAAAGAAGGCCCAGGAAATCATATGCGTCAACTCGAATTTAAAAAGCAACATGATCATTCCTTTGAATGCAATGGCGCAGGAATAAATTGAAATATATCAAGGAAGCTGTTCCATGTAATATTGTAGCTGCTTTCGGGTTTTCTTTTCTATTTCTGAATCGAAATCACCCAAAAACTTTTCCGTTTGATACCGCGTACAAAATAAAAACAACCAAAGGAAAACTTTCTCTTTAGGACGAGAGCAAAAAAACCGGAGACTTCGGACGAAAGAATACTCTGTGGAGATTTCAAACGAATCCGACAAGACTTTCAAGAAAGTTTGAAGTTGCTGCTATTCCTTTTACTGCAGTGGGTAGATGGATCATTTTCCATTACATTATACAGAAAACTCCAAAAAAAAAAGATACTGGTAAAAAATGTGTTGCATGCTTCCGTTTTCCCCTTTCGCCAAAAATTTGAGAAGTATTTCATCAAAACTCAAAAAAGCATATGGAAAAGTGGGAGTTATTTTATCCTATTTCAACGTCAGAAAACTCTGAAAATTATTGGTACAAACTTGGTGGTATTCTTCAGTTTTCTCCACCTGCCACAATTTTGAGAGATACTGTATTTCAACAAAACTCGAAAAACTATACGGAAAAATGAAAATTATTTCAGCCTGCTTCTGCTACTTATTTTACCCAGATTTTCTGCCTCCACAGGCAAATTCTTCGTTCGTCTCAAGATCTTTTAGAAATTTATTTTTTTATTTTTTATCGAATATTCTCTTGATAAAACTTTTTTTATTGGGGGAGGGGTTTGAATGTCGGGTTCCGAGGGAAATCTCCACGAAAGTTTTCGCCGCCTTGACAACACATATTTTCCCGCTGATTTTCATTTTCTGCCTGTTCTTTCCCCGCATCTTTTTCTTTTATACAAAAAAACAGGGTCTTGATTTTTTTTTTTTATAAGCAAGCGATCGAATGATCTCCCCCAGGCGAAATCATCGTGCGAACAACCCACCAGTGTGGTCGGCAGTGGCGGCGGCGGCGGCAGCGGCGGCTGCGTTGTACTCGGCAAACAGCGGCTGCGCCAACGCAGTGTAGGCGTAGGCGTCCGAGTAGGGCGCAAACATGAGCGAGGCGGTGTCGTGGGCGCCGGGGCCGCCCTGCAGCAGCGGGTTCCCGCCCGCCGACCCGTTCAACAGGCCCGTGTGCGGCTGCACGCCTACAAAAAGACATGCAAACCCGAATAAAAGAAACTGAGTCAACTCGACAGTCGAAACTCTCTTTGAGACGAATACAATCAAACGACAACAACAATCAAATAATGAATCGAATTACAGGAATTGAAGTCGAACCTCTCTGAAGTCGAATTCTTTCCAAGTCCTTACCTGCACTCCCACAGAAAAATGCATTGAACATCACGTTAAATTTAAAACTCCCCCCGCCTCTTAAAAATCCATTACTCGAATTTTCTGGAGGTCATTAGACTATCATTTGATTGACACAAGAAAGAGAAAAGCAATAAAAATGTAACTTGACGCGTTTTGAAAAAAAAGTGGAAGACTAATTTGGACAAATGAACCATTGTCTCAAAGTTCAGCATCCTTTTCATTCATTTGACAAGCAATTTAAGGCCCAGAATATCACCAATTACAAATTCCTGTACAGTAATTCTTCTATCTTTGCATGAATTAAAGTCGAACCTCCCTGAAGTCGAATTATTTTCAAGTCCTTACCTGAATTCCCGCAGAAAAAATGCATTAAACATCTCGTTAAATTTAAAACTCACCCCGCCCCTTAAACCTCCAATACTTGAATTATCTGGAGGTCATTTGACCATCATTTGATTGACACAGGAAAGAGAAAAGCAATAAAAATGTAACTTGACAGCGTTTTGAAAAGAAAGTGAAAGACTAATTTGGGTAAATGAAAGCTTGTCTCAAAGTTCAGCATCCTTTTCAATAATTTGACAAGCAATTTAAGGCCCGGAATATCGCCAATCACAAATTCCTGTACAGTATTTTTTCTTTCTTCCCCTCAACAAAAAGGCTTGTTTTCCAAACTCAAAACACAACAAAATATGGGGGAAGAATCAAGAACAAGCTCATATTCAATCCGCAACATGATAGGTTCACACAAGATGATTTCATCATAATTTTCTTCGCATAATTTTCTTTTGTTTTCACTTTCCATTAAGAAAATAAACTCGCTCATAAACGAATTCCGGCGTCGTTTCTGCGAAAAACGTAGCTGGACTAACATTTTGAAACAGAATAATTTGCGAGCATCAAAATAATCGAGAAAGTGATGAATAAAAAATGATGTCATGGAAGTATGAAGAATAATGAACCATTACGCGGACTCCTATCATGGATTATTTTTTTAAACCAATTTTTAAAAAATTTCCGAACAAGGTGGCTGATAGATTTTTCAAAGCATAAACTAAAAAAAAGACGTACAGTGCACAAAAAACTCTTTTAAAATCTAGATACAGAGGTTCAAACATCCTTACTTTAAATCGGAATGTTCGCGATAAGGATTATACTTTTCTGACAAAATCCGAAGTCCGAAATAAACCATTTGTAAATTTCCCGGATACCGGAAAAAGTTACAATGAGAAGGTTATTCTTTTTTCCATCTACGTTCCAGGCATTAATATTTCGCAGATACTTAAAAAATTGAAATTTCTGTTGCACACTTCAAACATTAAAAAAAAAATTGGTACAACGCAGAATTCTGCAACGAAAGATTCAACGAAATCCGACTAAAAAAAGACATCTACCATCATTGGAACCAGTACTTTTCCAGTATATATTCAGAAAATGAAACTTGAGCCAGAATCAAAGAGTGTGAGGCGAACTCTTGAGAGAATTCTAACCATAGCCTTCACCATGTCCTGAATCAGATCTGCGAGAATAAATAACCAAACCGGAAACGTAAACTAAACCTGATCCGAAATTAAACCGGAAATAGACGAAGACAACAAACAAGAACTTCAACCAAAGTCTTGACCAGAATATTTCTCATGAATGCAATTTTTCTAGTAGAAAATGTAAACGTGAACGAATCTCAATCAAGAACTTCTTTTTCAAAATGTACCCAAAAATTTGGCAGGAAACGCTTGACCTGGTTCTTCTCATGGGGCAAAACGGAAAACGCATTGAACATCATTGGTATCTTACTTTCAAAAAACTACTTCATTGGCAAAAATCTCCAGTTCCTTTAGGATCAAGGCAAATATTCGGAGAACTAAAATAAATAATCAGGTCTTCGAAACCTCAAGAGGCTCATTAAAGAGGCGAAACCACGGAACTACGTCCATTATTCATTGAGTAAATGAAACATAAACAGGAAAAAGTATACCATATCGCCTTCTAATTTTCAAGACTCTTATTTTCGTGAATCTGATTCCCTCGACCTTCAATTTCCAAAAAACTCGTAAAAACGTGTGATAAAACAGAAAATGATCGAGGATTCTGCAGTGGTTGAAAAACAAAGCGATTCCTGACCGATCTTGTGCAAGCGAAATGACGATCGTAAAATTCAATGCCAAGAACACACTTCGTATCCAACTTCGAGTAAACCGAGGAAATTCTTATTTGTTCATCTAACCACTACATCTTCACGATTATTACGACAATTAAGTTCAATAAAACGTGTCCTGCGGTGAAGAGATCAGCAATAGGAACCAATTTCCATCACCGTAAACTCATCAAACCATCATGAAAACCGCAAAACAAAACAAAAATTGGCAGTAAATTTTCGCCACAACTTTTCTCTCTCTCTCTCTCTCTCTCTCGAAAAAATAAAATCTCTTCGTCTCTCGCTTCCAGACATGCGATTAATTCCCCCTTTCTTCTTCTTCGAATCTCGTGAAGTTTCCCGCAGAAAAATAAAAATCAACGCTTCCGTCCTCGTCGTCCAAGAGTCTCCTCCAAAAAGAAAATCTGTCAGAAAAACGAAATTTCTCGTTAATTTCCATTCAAAACAGCCACATAAATCACCTGGCGGAAGACGGGGGGACAGGATGAGCGGGGCGCCGAGAGGGGTCGCCTGTTGGCGGAGCTGTGAGGCGGCGGCGACTGCAGACGTGAGTCCGGCGGCGGCCAGCGGGCCCATGAGCCGCGGGAGGTCGCCAGCAAAGAACCCACCTGCAAAATCAAAAATTGCGCAAATATAAATATTTTTTGCTGCTTCCTGCATCAGTTCACGAAAGCATAAATCATTAAAAAAAAACAACACACACACGCATCTCTTCCAATCCGTCCATCATAAATTACAGTTCGAAAGGTCGCAGTGCAAATGGAGAAGAAATGGCCCACAGCAGCAGGATCGTTATTTCTATTAACGACTGCTCGTATACACTAGTACTTTCACTGGTACTTACTACACTGGTGTGCAATTGCAAATTGTAGACTCTTCCTTCGGCATATTTCTTTTCTTTCTTTAATACCAACAACCCCGCGTGCAGAAATTCAAACGGGTCGAAAAGTTTTTTTCATTTGAAAATTAACTACCGAGGAACGTCTCATTTCCTCACGCTTGTTCAATTGATTTATTATTCACGACTTTGGTATATTCACCCTCAAATTTGAAAAAATTCATAAAATGATTTTGTGGAAGAGTTTTTAAAAAGGTCACAGACGTAGGCTTTAAAGCTATTTTCTTCTCGAACCAAGAAATTTCCACGCCTCGCAAAACTAATTTCAGATCATTTTTATTTCAGGAAAATAATTTCAGAAGTATCGGGGTAATTTTATAGACAATTTGTCGTAGTAAAAGTTTTATCCATGAAAAATTAAGGATTGAAAAGGTTACGAGAGACGCATTTAATCAAGATTGAATTATGCTGAGCAAATATGAGTGAAAAGAAATTTCCAAAAAAATTGGAATACCAGACTGATCAGATCGTCATCCGAGTTTTTCAAATACAGTGCGAACCTTGACATGCAGAAACCCTGACATCCGGAAACTGGCTCAAGTTAGGGATATTTTTCTTCAATTTTTCAAAAACATCAAAATTTTTATTTTTATTTTGATATTGTTTAAACAAATCAAGCTATTTATATTCAAAAATTGTTAACAAGAATTCAATGATAAAATCAGTCTAAATCATAATCAAAAGCAAGCTGATTTTTTGCTAATTTTTTCTGAGTTTTTTTATTTATCATCTTTGAATATTCTAGCAAGATTTATTCTTTTTCTTTGCTTTTTGATCACCTTCTGATACCAAAAGATCAGATTCTATGTGGTTTTGTTCTTCTCTGTTGTTTTTTACAACTTGAAGTTGAGGGAAACAATTCCATCAAATTTTTTGAGGACTTATTTTTAATTTTTGAGAAAAAGGAGAACCAATTAAGTACATTAGCATTGAAGTCTAAAGGAAAATGAGACTCGACATCAGGACACTCTTGATGCATCAATGACGACTGCATCTCAGGGCCTCACTGTGAAGTACTGTTCACAAAAATTTGAAAAAAATTAAAACTTCGGACCAGATCCAGACCATTCCTCGTCCTCTTTTTCCAAATCGATTTTTGACATGAAAAATTTGGCTCGTGAATCTTGAAGAAAAACTCCGATTTCGCCATTTCTTTTACATATGCACGTCGTTCTTCCACCAACAAAAACCCCGTCCAATATATCAGAAACCGTCAAGAATTTTGAACACATTTCCCGCGAAGAAAGTTATTTTGAATTTCCACGAAAACACAAAAAAAATCCCAAGGACAATAAACAAACGGACGGACGATGTTAGCACGGAAGAGAAACAGTTTCATCCTTCAGAAAAAAAAACGAAAAGGAATTTCTTGAAATTAGAAAAATACCCACCAAACCCAAAAAATAAAAAAACACATTTCCCAGTAAAATACACAAACGAAGCCGCGTGAATCACCACTGGCAAGAAACCAAGAATCCCCAGGACGAAGTTACTCGGGTTAAAAGCTACTTTTCTTTCGCTTCCCTCTCCCAGAACCTTTTTTTATTTTTTATTTCCTCTCCTCTTCTTCCATTTATACAAATTTATCCACTTTACACGTACACTCAAGAAGAGCCGGCGAAAAGAACAGGAACAACTAAAAAAAATTTAAATAATAATATTGTAACACAGAGCAGAAAAAATATCACTAATAATCGCCGGGTTATTTACAAAACCAAGCTCACCAAAGCTTCCATTATTAAAAAAAAAAATTCCTCTCATCGAAATTTTGCGTACAGTACATGAAAAATTTAGAAAATATCAATATCCGATCTACAACAACAGCCTTAAAAATGTTCACATCTCTGCTGTCTCAATTCATCAACAGAACAGAAAAAATTTTTGTGATCCGCTGAAACAAAAGAGAAAGAGAGAGGAAAGCCCCGAGGGGGTTACGATGAGCAAAAACAAAAAAACAAAACATGTCAAGTTAGTCAAGATTATGAACAAAACCTGTCGAAAAATATAGACACCCCGACATTATTGTGTCGAAAGCGAGAAGATTGCCAGGAGAAAAAAAAATATTAACAATATTTTGTTACGCAATTAACCCAGCCATTCGAACATACGTGAGTCGAAGAGAGGGAGAGAGAGAGAGAGGTTTCAAAAACGAATCGTCGCTTTTGTGTCCCATTTATTTTTCATTAGAGAAGAAAACAAGAAAAAAAATATGATTATTTGTTTGCAATCGAATGTATAGTAGTAAGGTGAGTAAAATCGGCCCTTTCTCTGATTTTTTTTAGATGTTTTTTTTTTTCGTTTTCTTTGGGGATAGCAAGGTTTCTCACCGTAGATGTCATCCTGGTGGCAATTTTTAAGCGAGGCTTGCAACGAGGCAGCGATGTGATTACACCACAACTCACCAGCCGAGTTCTTCATGCTCGAGTCTCGGTAAGTGCCGTTGATGATGGCCAGTTCCATCAGCTGTCGCTTTTTCAGCTCGTCCTCTCCATCAGCCTGGGGAATTCGTACAAGATAGAGACATTAGCCACAATAAATAAAAAATAAGAATAAAAATGGCAAACATTTTTCAAATTAATAAATATCTGATTTACAGTGAGACCCCCACATGCGGACAATTTGACATAGAGACACTTATTTTCCCATTAAAATTTATTTAAAAAAAAGGCCCAACATGAGGACACTGACTCAACGTAGGGACATTTTGTGATAAAATTTCAAATAAGTTCCAGACCAAATTACAAGAAACAGATATTTCTAACCCTAAAGTTGATGTAAGAAAAGTTATTGGGCATTTCTCTCACCAATTTAACATCCATTAAGCCAATTGAAAAAATTACCTCCAGCATAGAGGGACTTCCTTCTCTCTTTTTCACTTGAATGTTATTCTTTTTTTTACAGAGAATGCCAACATTTCTATGTTCTTTTCAGATGTATCAGTATTCAATTCCCCAAATGCAAATTATTCGTTCATACCATCACAAATCGCGACAATTTAAATAAGCGAATTGTCGGCAATAAAAATCTGTTTTCGCATCAAGACCGGCAGATGACGTCACCATCATTAATCATCGAATCCTATACTCCCAAGAAATATTAGTCAAGTTGTTTTTCTTTCTGTTTATTTTCCAAAAATTCTGATTCAAGTAATTTCAAGGTAACAGTCAAGAGGTGGGATTTTTCTTGCGAAGTCTTCCGCGTGGGTGATCCCTCTACAGTTTCTCGTCCAGTGTTAGCTTCTCTCTCTCTTTTTTTTGCTTCTTAGTCAGTAAGACGAATAAGTTCACAGCAAGGAACCGAGAAAAGTTGACCCCTCCCAGAAAAAATAAAGGAGGGTTTTTTCTTGGCCACACCCTGACCATACACGGGCACCTCACGCGGGGCGTTGGCCGTCCTAAGAACAAAAACGGCGACGAACGAAAAGAAGGATCAAGGACCAACTGCCTCAGCTTTTAATTTTTTTTCTTGCTTGTCTAATGTTGGAAAAAGTGTTTCTTCTTCTTCTGTTTCTTTTTTTTTTTGTGGGGTAACCAATTTGTGTGCATGTGTATATGACGAGGTTCTCCGTGGTAACGAACCAAGTCCATCTTTGGGCCAGATGGAGAAGAGATCGAGATTTATTTTCTTGCGGGGGTTGGTCAGTCTGCTGCTGGCTCAGTTGGTGGCCCACGTTTGATTTAGGGACGCTTGGATGGGGGTAACACGAATTCTATAATTTATGAAGAAGAAAAAATATGAATATAATTCTTCTATGGGAAAAAATTATTGGTTATTTTACTTCAATTATTCAAAAACCCCTAAAGCTAACCTTATTTTAGCCTCTCGTCGTCCAAAAGCTCGAAAACCTCTGAAATACAGTGAGACCCCCACATGGGGACAATTCGACATAGGGACACTTATTTTCCCATTGAAAATTAATAAATAAAATAATTATAGTAGATTAAAAAATTAATCTAAAAAACCACGTTTTCCAAAAGCAAAAAATAACCTTAAACGTGGTGCGCATCTATTTCATTTGTATTTCACTTCTTCTCAACAATCTCCATGCGCACCACGTTTAAGGTTATTTTTTGCTTTTTGAAAACGTGGTTTTTTAGATTAATTTTTTAATCTACTATAATTATTTTATTTATTAATTTTCAATGGGAAAATAAGTGTCCCTATGTCGAATTGTCCCCATGTGGGGGTCTCACTGTATTTCAGAGGTTTTCGAGCTTTTGGACGACGAGAGGCTAAAATAAGGTTAGCTTTAGGGGTTTTTGAATAATTGAAGTAAAATAACCAATAATTTTTTCCCATAGAAGAATTATATTCATATTTTTTCTTCTTCATAAATTATAGAATTCGTGTTACCCCCATCCAAGCGTCCCTAAATCAAACGTGGGCCACCAACTGAGCCAGCAGCAGACTGACCAACCCCCGCAAGAAAATAAATCTCGATCTCTTCTCCATCTGGCCCAAAGATGGACTTGGTTCGTTACCACGGAGNACCAATTCAGTTCACCATGGGTTTTTTTCTTGGGGCCAAGGAAAACCTGCTCAAAGTTTTATTATAGAAATCTACTATAATTATTTTATTCTTTTTAAAAAATATTCTTAAAATTAATTTTTTCACAAAAGATTGCATTGTCATCAGTTTCTAAGCTATCCTGAAAGTTTCAGCTTGCTAGCTAGTCGGGAAGTGAGTGAAATTTGAGTTTCAAAATTTGATCCGGACAAACAGACAGACAAGAAAGTGAGTTCATAAAAACGTGGTAACATGGTAAAATGACCTGACAAGAGGACACTGACTCAAAATAGGGACATTTTGTGAAACCATTGGAAATAAATATCAGACCAAATTACAAGCAACAGATACTGTATTTCTAGTCCTAAAATTGATGTAAGAAAAGTTCTTGGGCATTTCTCTCACCAAATTACCATCCATTTAGCTAATTTAAAAAAATTACCTCCAGCATAGAGAGACTTCTACTTTTTTCACTTGAATTTTATTTTTGTAGATGCAAACATTTCAATGTACAGTACAGAGATACACTATTCAATGCTCCAAGTGTTCTTATTGAGTTGAAAATGTATTCACTAATTCAAATTCAAGCGGTAAAAATTTTTTTTGAGGGAATTCTGAAGAATATTTGTTCCAGAAAACACCAATTAAAAATTATATAATGCAAGTCTATGGGAAAACAAGACTCAATTTAGGGACAATTCAACTTAGGGACACTCTTGATGCACCAATTATGTCCGCATCTCGGGCTCTCACTGTAAATGCTAACCAATAGAACACATCGAATCCCAGTAAATTTCTGCGTGTATTGACACATCAATTTAAAAAAAGCTGAGATATTTTAATCTCTCGTCGTCCGAATATAAATCGACATCATCTTACACACTAAATCCCACTAACTTAATTTTATTCTATTCATTTAAATCAATTGAACAAAAAAATCCTAACTATGTAAGTCTCCCGTTGTACAAAAAAAATCGAAATCATCTTAAATAAATGCGCCCCATTAGAACACATTGTATCCCACTAAATCTCCGTTTTCATCCACTTACATCAATTGAATCAACAAAAACGCTAAGCTTGTTTAGTGTCTCATCGTCCGAAAAAAAATCGACATCCTCTTACATAAACATTTCCCAGTATTTTCATTGTCGAGCTCCAATACAAAAAAAAACCCCCTCCCAACCGACAACACTGTTCAAAAACCCTGACCAGGCATGAGAAAAGAATCCAGGAAACCCGGGAGGGTCATTTCGCGACACACGAGGGAACAAAATAAAGTAAATTAAATTTGTAAAACAGACACAGGAAAAATAAAACCTGTTTTACAGATAGGTAGAGACGGAATATATATACCAGGCATGAAGCGGATTTGATGAACCGATATCCTCGGACTCGTCGCTGGTTCTCCTTCTTATTTTTATTTTATTTTTTCCTATCTACCTTCCTAGGCATTCCTTTTCAACAATTCAAATTTAATGCATCTGCGAGTCGTAATTCCTGGGATGAAGAGAAAATATTTATGGAAGGGAGGACACAAAAAAAAAGAAAGAAAGAAAGATACTCTGCGATGGCCCCGATATGACTAACAGGGCGACGATCGCAGCCTTGTTCGGAATCTTATCCACACACACAGTCCTGTTGTGTGACGTTTTGTCTCAGAGGGTTTCTTTCATTTATTTATTTATTTATATATGCTCTATTTATTTTTTGAATACACGCCGTATAAGCGAGTGTTTTGCAATCCGGGTGCTTACAGTACTGCTTTTGGTAGACGGCAAAGCCCCGGGATTAGTTTGACTCGTACTGAGAAAAATAATAATAATTCATGCAGAACTTCGTGGGGAGGCCGACGTTTTCAATCTTGAATTTCATGCGATGGAAAAAATAAAACTTTTGGATACGATTGATTCTCATTGTTGAGCAACATTCCTTGAGTTTATTCGTTCTGAGCGGATTCTTGGGAATTCAAAATGAAATTTTACAGTACTTGAAACCTGCGGCTTTCGTTGATATTGTTTTGATAATTTCTGGTAATTTTCAAACTTCGCACGAATTAGCGAATCAATCATAACCTTTAATATGCGTGCTGAATCATTTTCAAGCGTATTACATCGTTTCAAACGTCAGCAAGCGACATCTACTAAATATTCCACAGAACGATGCCATGTGTTCGAGATATAGACGTGAAAATACAGGTACTGTATACGCATAAACGTATATTTCTTGATATTCATTCCTCGAATTAAAATGGGGTTGGACAGGTTTTCGTCAATTTATTTTTGAGCTTATTACCTTTACAATCTTTATTCAGAGAGTTTTGAAATTTAGGTCAAAAACTTCTGAAGCTAGGAGGAAACTATCGACGAATTCAAGCGACATCTACCAAATATTCCACAAAACAATGTCATGGATTCGAAAAAGAGACGTGAAAATATACGAATAACCGTGAATTTCTTGATTTTCATTCCTCGAACAGATTTTCGTCAAATTAATACGAAATATGAACCTCATCTATCTGCATTCTCCGAGTTTTGTAATTTATTTCCTGAACTCCTGAAGCTAGGAGTAAACTATCGGCCACTGCAAGCGACATCTACAAAATATTCCACAAAACAATGCCATGCGTTCGAGAAATAAGCGTGAAATATATACAGTACTGTACGAGTAACCGGAAATTTCTTGAAATTCATTCCACGAAGTAAAGTGGGTTCGGAAAGGATTTTGTCAAATCATCCCGAGCTTTGAACCTTTTCCATCTTCAATCTCAGATTTTTGTAATTTATTTCAAGAAATTTTGAAGTTAGGAGGAATCTATTGCGATAATTCAGGTGAGCATTTTACCGCCTCGGATTTAAATACGGTAATAATTCTTCCAAGTTACTTAATTTACGTAACCACACTTCCTGAATGAAAATTGATGTTCTTTCAAGATTTTTTTTCGTCCCCGGATGACATAAAAAAATATACCCACGATGAACATAATGCATGCGACAAAATTAAAAATTTAGCACCCATTAGGCATCAGCTCAAGTATTAATGATTCAAACTTCACGCGTTATCCAGATAATGCACTGATTTATCCAATTCCCTCAATAAAATAAAATTTGATCAATAATCACTGCATGAACAAATACAAACTAAATTAATCCGGTAATTAAAAAAATAAAGGCATGAGGAATTGAAGACATCCCTGGAATTACGGAAATATTAAATGTTCCATTCGGGCGAATGATAGGCAAATTAAAACGAAAGGTTTCATGGTTAAAAAAAAAAAAATCTCGAGCCACACAAAAAGGTGTGGAATTGAATAATTTCCTGGAAATCGCCGTAATCAAAGGATGCAAAAGCCCCACAGGAATTTCTCGCGCAATGCAGGAGAATAATTTCGAATAAATACTGCAATATTTCTGACACCATCATTGAATAATAATTTATCCTCGGATTACGAAATAAAACCGATTTCCTCGCGGGGAATCTATTCAGTATTTAAGAAAGTTTCACGCGGAGTTCTTGAAAGATTTTTTTTTCTCTGATGACAAACCCCGTCATTTTCATCCTTTCATTCGACGTCGGTTGCGATGAAAACTTCGTTCGACTTTTCGAACGTGTTCGACTTTTCGAACGTGTTCGACTTTTCGAACGTGTTCCTACCGCAAGGCTAATAATTTGGTACCGTTTCGTTTTTTTTTTTTCAATTCTCTTATTGGAGACTTGATTCACTGTGATCAGTCCGAACTTTTGGCTTTGTAATAATTCAAAATTGAATACGTCCTCGGTTTCACAGATTGAAATTACGCTGAAATAATCAGCGGTTCGGCATCATTAGTCTCGGTCCACTGACTTTTTCCTATGACACCGTTTTCTCTCGTGTGCTCAACAGAAGAAACGAAGATATTTTTCGGCCTCCGGGTTTTTTTATCGAAAAAAAAGGACTTCAGATATATTCATAAATGATTCCTCCTCTGGGGATAATTTGGAAAAAATATCACCGCGATTACAAAAATAAATTTTTATCAATGTTGACATAATTACATTATTATCCTGCTTTTTTAACCTTCAAATGAAGGGGGTTTTGTTCGGAAAAATCATGGGATTCGTCAGAACTCTTTAAAAATGATTTCTCATTTAGGGATGATTTCGACAAGAAACCACCATGATTAAAACAGTGTAAAAATTATTTTTTGTCGATTTCTACGTAATGA